ACCCATTTTAATATTCTAATATGATGTCCTTTCAAATTATTTAACGTTTCTTAGAGAGGGACAAATTCACTAATTTCGGAAGTTGATTGAATATATGTAGGTCTTTACTATGAATGGCAGTCTCAAAAATGACACGATTCAATACTATAGTGATGAAATTAATATGAACTTAAACAACTCTATACCGTAATGATTAAATTAATGTTAACTAACACAATGTTATACTGTAATGATTAAATTAATGTTAACTAACACAATGTTATACTGTATTGATTAAATTAATGTTAACTAACACATTGTTATACTGTAATGATTAAATTAATGTTAACTAACACAATGTTATACTGTATTGATTAAATTAATGTTAACTAACACAATGTTATACTGTAATGATTAAATTAATGTTAACTAACACAACTCTATACTGTAATGATTAAATTATTGTTAACTAACATAACTCTATACTGTAATGATTAAATGATTGTTAACTAACATAACTCAATACTGTAATGATTAAATTAATGTTAACTAACACAATGTTATACTGTAATGATGAAATTAATGTTAACTAACACAATGTTATACTGTAATGATTAAATTAATGTTAATTAACACAATGTTATACTGTAATGATTAAATTAATGTTAACTAACACAATGTTATACTGTAATGATTAAATTAATGTTAACTAACACAACTCTATACTGTAATGATTAAATTATTGTTAACTAACATAACTCTATACTGTAATGATTAAATTAATGTTAACTAACATAACTCAATACTGTAATGATTAAATTAATGTTAACTAACACAATGTTATACTGTAATGATGAAATTAATGTTAACTAACACAACTCTATACTGTAATGATTAAATTATTGTTAACTAACATAACTCAATACTGTAATGATTAAATTAATGTTAACTAACACAATGTTATACTGTAATGATGAAATTAATGTTAACTAACACAATGTTATACTGTATTGATTAAATTAATGTTAACTAACACAATGTTATACTGTAATGATGAAATTAATGTTAACTAACACAATGTTATACTGTAATGATGAAATTAATGTTAACTAACACAATGTTATACTGTAATGATTAAATTAATGTTAACTAACACAATGTTATACTGTATTGATTAAATTAATGTTAACTAACACAATGTTATACTGTAGTGATGAAATTAATGTTAACTAACACAACTCTATACTGTAATGATTAAATTAATGTTAACTAACACAACTCTATACTGTAATGATTAAATTGATTTTAACTAACACAACTCTATACTGTATTGATTAAATTAATGTTAACTAACACAATGTTATACTGTAATGATGAAATTAATGTTAACTAACACAACTCTATACTGTAATGATTAAATTAATGTTAACTAACACAATGTTATACTGTAATGATTAAATTGATTTTAACTAACACAACTCTATACTGTAATGATTAAATTGATTTTAACTAACACAACTCTATACTGTATTGATTAAATTAATGTTAACTAACACAACTCTATACTGTAATGATTAAATTAATGTTAACTAACACAACTCTATACTGTAGTGATGAAATTAATGTAAACTTTAACATAACTCAATACTCACTTAATACATATACTAAAAATACTGTATTGATTAAATTAATGTAAACTAACACAACTCAGTACTGTAATGATGAAATTAATGTGAACTTAAAAATAACTCAATACTATAGTGTATAAATATTGTTATAACTTTTACATCAAATTTGAATTTATTGGAAATGTCTATACATCTGTACTTTTTGTTGTATAGT